TCCTTTTCACTCCATGTTGCTAAGTGATATTTCATACATGGTTATACTGATAACAGCCCTTGTAAGTCTTGACTGCTCATGAATAATAAATACATACTGTTGGCATGAAAAAAATAAAAGAGAACAACGCTTTCCTCATTGGTGTCACCTACACGTCCACTATGAGTGTCTCTGCCCCTCATGATCTAGATGAGATGGCACCTTGTTTCACAGCCTCTGGGACAGATCAAAGCCTGTCCCAGACTTCAGCCAACTCTTGGGACATTGTGTGCTCATGGTCTCTTCTTGCTTCTGTCTGTGCTCTGTATGACATCAGTCCAGATATAAGTCAGCTCTTTCCCCAGTCTCCCCCAAAATAAAAAGCAAAGAATCTCACTGACACCAAGCATTCATGAGCAGGCTTTTCTATAGAACTGAGGAGAAGGGCGATTATGGAAGAATCCCCATGCACCTGAGAGAGAGCCGTGGAAGTCTCCACCAAGTTGTGCTAGTTTGCCTTCCTATGGAGAATGGAGAATGGGTCTCTTCTCCCCACAACCTCAACAGCATTTATCATTGGGGGGCGGGGGGTAAGGCAGAACCTCAGTGTTGGTTTGATCTGCATTTCTTTGATGATCAATGATGCTAAGCATTTTTTACATATTTATTAGCCATTTTTCTTCTGAGACGTGTCTGTTCACTGACATTGTGGCATACATATATATAAAACTCAGCAATAAAGAAGGATAGATCTGAGTCATTTCTAGGAAAATGAATGGATCTTGAGACCATAATACTAAATGAAATGTCAGTTGTAGAATGTTAAATATGTCATGGTTTCTTTAATAGGAGACCTAAAATATAAATAATCTATAACGGAACTAAACAAAAAAAGGGGATACAGATGAATGTCCATTTTGTATCTGTGTATTCAAAGTGGTTAGGATAGATATATAGCTACACTCTCTTAATAGAGGGATTTGTTCTAATAGTGTTTGTGGATAGGATATCATGTCTGCATCTTGTACAGCAATTAACCCCTAGGAAAAATGTATGCAATGGGTTGATTATTGAAACTGTCCTACTAATTTGGTTTGAAATTGTCTCATTGCTATTTGTTTCTCAATAAAATTATGGGAAAAAAATAAAAAATAAAAAGGACAAAAAGTTAAAAAAAAAAAAAAAAGGAACCTGAAAGAGAAAAATAGAATCTGAAGGATATGATAGATACTGGGAAAAGGGAATGAACTTATTCAAAAGGAAAGAGTTACTGAGTTGAGGAGAAAAAAAGGAAAAGAATTGAGGGAAAGAGATTAATTTATGTATGTAAGCAGGATAATTTGAGCAACTGTACTGTGAATTTCTGCTGGTCTATGGAAAGAAACTTAATGCTTTAATTTATTTCATCTCCTTTTTTCAATTAGTACTTTTTCTCTTCTTAATCTCTTATACATTTCTTTCTCTTTTCTTCTTTCAATTTTACATGCATATATCTGGGAATATGCATAGCTGATTGGAAGACAACACTGTATTACTAGTACTGTGAAATTCATATTACTTTATTAAGTGAAATTTTTATCACTTGTAATTTTTTCTGTTTTAATTATAATTTTTACTCTTTAAAATTAAAAAAAATCAGTTTTGAAAAAATATATGTAAATAATCTAAAGAGAAAACTCAGAGACATGTTGAAAAAGCAGGCAAGTAGTCTTTGTAGAGGTGGAAAGAACTGTGGAAGGAGGGAGAGGGCTGGGAGGGAGGATGGGACATAAAAAGATCGAGATGAGATGAGATATGTACAAGTTTAAAGAACTCAAACTGAATGCAACCATGATATATTACAAACATAAACTAATACAAAAAAATTTTTTTTAAATTCAGACCAACACTAAGTAAAAGTCTCCACTAAACAGTTCTATTATTTTAACATCTCTGCCAGTCATCCTGCGGCTGGGAGCTCCTGTCTGGTAGTTGTACTTCCTTCCCACAAGTCTGTTCCTCTTCCTTTTCTCTGTTCTGTTCCCTCGCTGCCCCTTCCCTCACTAGGATGTGAGGCAAGTTCCTTATGCACAGAGCTTCCCCCTTCTGTGGGAATACCCTCCACTGCTGAAACCCAGCCTGAAGATCTGCCTTCTAACTTGACTCCACCTTCTAAAAGTAATGCAGTTACCTTGAGCTAGAGATTAGATCCACAGCAGGACTTCACTCAACTTGCTGCTAGTCTGGGCCATAGAAGATGGCCAAGGCCTAGCTTGATCAGGGCCTGCAATTAAAGATAGAGAGGGATTAGGAACACAACAAGAATAATCTAACCCAGAGTAGGTGAAACTGGGAGAGACAACTGTCCGAGATTAGTTCATTTTAGGCTGCAGGATTCAGGTCTCAAGTGTGGAAGGGCCCCAGGGCTGGCTGGCACCCAGATGATCTAGAATCCCCTGGATCTGTTCTAGGTCTCATGTGTCTCTCTCAGATGCCCTGAAAATTTTACAAAATGGGAAGAACAGAGATACCATATACCTTCCCAGAAAGAAGCAAGATTATCCTGTGATGTCTGAAGCCCCCACATAGATTCCTTGATCAAGCGGCCAAAATGATCCTTATGGCCCATCTAGGGCAGGACTTGAGGCAGAAGCCCCGCTGGTGGAGAGTCCACGCTGGCTTGGGGCCACTGCTGCGAATGAACTTCAAGTTGATCTTGTGACCATACTGGATTGTGGAATCCACCTTCCCCCATAATCCTCCCATCTCTGGGACCTCTGTTGCTCAAGGAGCTGGCTGCGTGGGGTGTTTGCTGCAAACTCCAGAAAAACAGCTTAGGAATAGAGTGGGAGAAGGGGTGAAACCAGTGCAAGGAGACGGGGGGGGGGGGGGGGGGAAGAGGAAAGATGCTGCTGAGCCAGAGCCACAGGTTCACCCCAAAGCGGGGAACTAGGTGCATCTTCTTCTTAGTAGAAGGCAGAGTTCTTGGTCTGGAGGTGAGGGCTGGGCAGTGTCATAGAGGGGTGGAGAGGAGACCCTAGCACACCTAAAAACTGCTGCCTAGGGGCCCCATTTCTACACAGCACTCATGGGGCATGCAACTCCTACTCCCTACATAAGGACATTATCCAATTAGCTTAACTCTCCCTGCAGACTTGAGGAAGACTGCAGGGAGATTGTGGTTTTTGAGTCTGAGTTCCTGCACACCCAGTTGTCATAGCTGTGTCAGGCTTGAAGCTGGAGGGACAGCCTGACACAGGCTGGGTGTTTTTTGACTCCCCATCCCTGGGATGGTCCCAACAAATTTGATTCTCTGTGTATTTTGACCTCCGCACCACCAGATTCTCTTTGCGGAAGTGTGTATCCAAAAGAGGAAGCAAGGCTGCCTCAGAAGCAGACCTCAGCCCACACCCAGAGAATGGGGCCCTTGCTTTAACTCCAGGGGAGGTGACCCTGCCCTCTTCATTGTGCTCAAACCTCTGCCAAAGAAGTCGGTTTCATCATCTGGAGGGACTGGGCTGGGAGCTGAGGCAGGAGCCCCATAGGTTGAGGGTCTGTGACGGCTTGGGGCCACCACCACCACGGATCAGTGTAGACCATCTCAAGAGTCCTTTCTCTTGGAAGAAGTCCTCCCGAGCCTACAAGACTAGCTCTCTACAGCAGTGGGTACCTGTTGCTCTTAAACTCAACACACAGGACTTCACAGCACAGCCCCAGCGGAACCCTAGGCAATCCACCTGCGCCCAAACCTGCCTTCCCCGGACCGGACCTTAGAATTTGGAAATCCTCCCAGGGGTCCCTGTCAGCCGGGCCTCACCCCTGCGCCTTGGGGAAGGCCCTAGCCACCGCAGGAGGGCTCGGCACGCCCGGCTGCGGGGAATTCGGCTCCCGTCAGGCGGCGGTGCTCACAGGAGCCGCGTGACGGGCGGCCAGCGGGCGGGGGCCCCTGGAACCTGCCCGCGTAAGGCTTCCCTGGGCGGTCGCCAGCCCAGTTCCGCCTCGCGGGCGGGAGCGGGGGCGGAGCGCAGCCTTTTGTAGCTTGGAAAGGAGTGGCGAAGACCTGGCGGTCTTGACGGCTGGCTTGGCCGCAGCTCGCACGCTCTGTCCCCGGAGCTCATCCCGACGCGCGGTTTCTCCAAACCGGCCCGGAACGCTTTCCATCGCAGCTGAATTTGAGAGATCATCTCCGTGTCACTTCCGCCAGCAAGCCACCTGTCCTCTATCAGACAGGACACATGGGCCACGAGGTCACCTGCCCGTGGAGGGGTCCCCTGTCTCGCCTCCAGATGAGGACCTGGATCGAGCCGGTGGTGGCCTCGACTCAGATGGCCGCCTCCCTCTATGACGCAGGGCTGCTCCTGGTGGTGAAGAAGTCCTTCGGGGCCGGGAACTCCTCCAACCACAGCACCACCCCGTCTCCCCGCGGGGCTCAAGAGGACCAACAGCAGAAAGCCATCTCCAATTTCTACATCATCTACAACCTCGTGGTGGGTCTGACGCCCTTGCTGTCTGCCTATGGGCTGGGCTGGCTCAGTGACCGCTACCACCGCAAGATCTCCATCACCGCGTCTCTGCTGGGCTTCCTGCTGTCCCGCCTCGGGCTGCTCCTCAAGGTGCTGCTGGACTGGCCTGTGGAGGTACTGTACGGAGCTGCGGCGCTAAACGGACTGGGCGGCGGCTTCTCAGCCTACTGGTCGGGGGTCATGGCTCTGGGATCCCTGGGCTCCTCTGAGGGCCGCCGCTCCTTGCGCCTCATCCTTCTCGACCTGATCCTGGGCTTGGCAGGGTTCTGCGGCAGCATGGCCTCGGGACATCTCTTCAAGAAGATGGTTGGACACTCCGCGCAGGGCCTGGTGCTGACTGCCTGCAGCGTGTCCTTTGCTTTTTTAGCCTTCTTCTACAGCGTCTTGGTGCTGCAGGTCCCCAAGCCTGTGGCCAAGCCCAGCAAGACGCTCCCCAGCCTGGATACTGTGTCTGGCACAGTGGGCACCTATCGCACACTGGATCCTGACCAGCTGGATAAGCAGAGTGTAGTAGGGCACCCTCCATCTCCAGGAAAACCAGAGCCCCCCAAAAGTATCATTGCCCTGCTCTTTGTGGGTGCCATCATGTATGACCTGGCAGTGGTCGGCACAGTGGATGTGATGGGTCTTTTTGTGTTGAGGGAGCCTCTGAGTTGGAACCAAGTGCAGGTGGGCTATGGTATGGCTTCCGGGTACACCATCTTCATCACCAGCTTCCTGGGTGTCCTGGTCTTCTCCCGCTACTTCCAGGACACTACCATGATCATGATTGGCATGGTCTCCTTTGGGTCAGGATCCCTTCTCCTGGCCTTTGTGAAAGAGACATACATGTTCTACATTGGTGAGTCTGGCGTTCTTGGGGAGGCAGTACATTGCTGGCCCTCTGCCCACAGGGCTGACACCAGGAATACTGTGGTCTTGGTTTCCTAGCTCTTTACCAGGGGTTGAACTTGCCAGCGAGGAAGCACAGGGAATCAGGTCAAGTGCACTTGCGTTGAATCTGTTCTGCTGATTGAAATGTTACCAGCATGGAGCCCGTGGTTCTAGGGGGCCAAGAGGTGTAGTCAATGGTGCCTGGAGTCTGCAGGGAGGCTTGGGGATGGACAAAGTTGAGTTTCTTGGGTTGGCAAGATAGGCAAGCACACAGGGACCAAGGTTCAATCCCTGGCACCACATGCTGCACCAGCCCTGCCCCCTGGGTGGGCTGAGCCTGCTGGAAAAAAAAGAAAAAGAAAAAAAACAAAGTTGAGCTTCTTCTTCCCATGTTTTTTCAGTACTGGAGACTTAACCCAGGAGCACTGATGTATACCCTCAGCCCTCTTTTTTTTTTTTGAGACAAAAAATAAAGGCTGGCTGCAAACGTTCAATCCTTCTGCCTTCACCAAGTTGATTGGATTACAGGCATATGCCAGCTTCTTCGCATTTTTTTTTTAAGATAGCCTCACTGTGCATCTCAGGCTGGCCTTGAACTCATAGCAATCCTCCTGTCTCCGCCTCCTGAATGCTGAGATTATGGGCATGCACTACTACATCCAGCTTCCAATTATAAAGGGATAAAACATTAAGTAATCCAGCCAAAAAGGTCCCAACAGAACTTTCTACAGTAGCAGAAATGGCCTTACAGTAATCCAGTCTGTCCCATACAGTAGCCACTTGCCACATGTGGTATTAAGTGTTTGACATGGGGTAGGGCAATTAAGAAGTTTATTTCATTTTAATTAATTTAAATAGTCATGCATGCCGAACAGCTAACATATTGGAAAGAACAACTAAAATGTTACCAGAAGGCTGTTAAGCACTTCAGAAAAACACCTAACCAAGTGCAATATAACCCCTGGCCAGCTCCAGTTAGGAAGGCTACTGCTAAGGACGGAGTCTAAGGACAGAGTATGTCTCTCCCCTTTCCTTTCCACCAGTCTCCCTCCCACCTTCTTCTCTCTCCCCACAACTCCCTCCCAAACTCAATGCATGGCTAATTAATAGGGACGCGTGGCAACTGCCATGCGGGACACACTTTCGGAAGTGTTCTACCAAAGCACCTGGGATCATCTCCCCCAGATGTTCACGTATGGTGAGGACAGGTACTTCTCTCCTTCAGAGGCTAGGAGCAGAACCTTGTGGCACTTTGGTGGTGGTGCTTTGGTGGTGTCAGCTCTCCTTCCCCAGGAACCACTCCACTCTGCCAGTACAAACCAGACCACCTTTGCTGTCAGTGTCTTTGTCAATGGTGCCCTGCCACCTTGCAGAGTTGTACCCAATGTGAACAGCTTTGTCTGACCACAGAGAGGGTCTCAATGAGGAGGGCACTGGTCTGCCAGCAGAGAGGCTACTTCTTCCAAGTCAAACATGTAGGGAATGTAGGGGAAAGGACTGGAAGGGAGCCAGGCTTTTGCTTCGTTCTGATATCTTTTCAAGCATAGGCTGCGGTGAAGAGTGTTATTGGTGATGTTTTACAGCACGAGTAGTCATGCTGTTTGCGCTCATCCCCATCACGACCATCCGCTCAGCCATGTCCAAGCTCATCAAGGACTCCTCTTATGGTAAGTGAAAGGAATCTAAGATCTTCCACCCGAGGCTGTTTCAGAGCTGTTGGATTTGAGGCACAGATTTGCAGAAGACCCACGAGAAAGTTCCAGAAGCATCGTTAAATACATTAGAAACAGTGGTTTCCAGCCAGGACACATAAGAGAGTGAAAACAGCTCAGAAAGTCAGTCACTGAAAAGTCACAGAAAGATACTTATCCACAAACTTCGGGATGATGCAGCTACGAAACTGGAAAAGAGTCCTTGGAAGAGTGAGAGGTTCCTCCCACTCCAGGGCTCTCCAGAGACTTCCTAGAGAAAAACAAGGAGAGAGAGACAATAGGACATTTCTTATTAACCTCTGTCCCCTTCACAGGAAAGGTGTTCGTCATACTCCAGCTGTCCTTGGCTCTGACTGGAGTGGTGACATCCACTGTGTATAACAAGATTTATCAGCTCACCATGGACAAGTTTGTCGGCACCTGCTTTGCTCTCTCCTCCTTCATATCCTTCTTGGCCATGGTCCCAATTGGGTAAGAGAGGAGCAGCCTCATCGTGTGACCTGGTGCCTGGTGTTTAGGTGAAGGGCTGTGGGTCCCTGTCTAGCCTACCATGGCAGGATTATTTGCTCTCAGTATTTTTGCAGTGATTTCCGTACAAGTTCTCTCACCAACAAAAATGTCCTCCCACAAGCTGATAATCTAGTTATCGGGAAATTACCCCAAAACACAATTGAATGAAACAGGCTGGCTCACTTCCTGGCAGTTTTGTAGTGACAATTTATTTATAGGCACTTTGTGTACAGTACTTCCTTATAATTGGAGGCTGGTATTAGAAACTCTGAGCCCCTCAGATCTTTTTGTTTGGCTCCCTTTGGGTGAGAATGACCCTGCCTCCTTTCTAGTGCTGTTTTCTCGCTGTGTCCTGACAGGGCTCTGTGCTCCATATACAAAACCTCCTGGCCATTGGGCTGAGTGAGTGTCCCACAGAGCCTTACGCAGTTTCTTTGACTCAATGCTGGGAGGTATCAGGCTGAGAAGTGAAAGATAGCATGGCTGGTCCTCAGCTGTTAGTCAAGATCAACAGAAGAAACACACAGTACGGTTCTGCCTTCAACCAGCCCTGCCCAAATAAGAGTGTGAGTCACAAAGGCTGGCCACATGAGTGCTTTACATTTGTTACAAAGGAGTGACAGGTGAAACTCATTGTAATAATGTAGGCAGTATCCAAAATATCATTTCAACATGGCATCAACTTACAAAATTAATCTAGAAGATATTGTTTTATTTTTAAACTGTCTTCACAATCTAATTATATATTTTATATGTATAGTACATTTCAATCTGGACTAGTCACATTCCAGGCATTCAGTTCCTCTTGTAGCTAATTGGGAATAATATGGGAATATTGGATGGTCCTCCTTCAGACTGTTAAGCCCTGTATCCCTTATCCTGAAGTGAGCTTCTCTCATGTATCAGTGCTGCTTGGCCATATGAAAGGAAAAGAGGGAGGAAAGGATGGAAGGAGGGATGGAGGGAAGGAAGGAAGAGAGGGAAGAAAGGAAGGAAAGAGAAACAAAAGGGAGGAAGAGAGAAGGAAGGAGGAAGGGAGAAAAGGGAGGGAAGAAAGAAAAAAAGGCTAGACAGACAGACATACGGCCACAATAGGTAGAAGTGATTTGCTACATGAAGGCTCTATATATTGGCAATGACATTATTATAGACAGCAGAATGGAAAATAATTGAAGATAAATTAAATGAGGACAGTAATAATGTGATTTTTAAAAATTTCTTCACATTATATCATAACATAGGTCTCCTGAAATAGGAGCCATCAATCATTGAGGTTTCTGGCTTTATTTTTTTTTATTTTTTTTATTTTTTTGGCGGAACCAGGGATTGAACTCAAACCCTTGCGCTTGCCAAGGAAGTGCTTATTCCACTGAGCCATCTCCCCAGCCCCTCTGGCTTGCTTTCTTAGTTGCAAAAAATAAACCTGGCACACATTAGGCCTTAGGTTCAATCCCCAACACTGTCAAAAAAAAAAAAAAAAAAAAAAAGTGGAGAAAAATATGATATGAAGATCAGGCAACTGAGAGCTTGTACAAACATAGGGCCATGATGGAGCTGATTTCCCAAGGTGAGGGCTGAACCAGCTCTGTCCTCAGGCTGTCCAGCCTTCAGGACTAAGTCGTGGCTGAATAGGCTGGACTGACTCTGTGAGAACTACCATGCGATGCAAGTGACTCAGGTGCTCCAGCTCCGTGACCCAGTGAGTAATGGATGAGCAGCTTTGCCCTCTGAAGAATCTTCCAGTCCTATTTCATTGGCAGTTGGGTGAAGTAGTTTCTTTAACTTAAACACCGAAAACCAATAGAAAACAAGTCTAACTGGCTAATGCGGATCATAAGGATAGAAACACACAAAAGCCATGAGAAAATCAGTAATTTATTCCTTTCTGCAGTTTCATCTGTTTTCACTGTGCTGAGTAGGGTGTTTTGCTGGACTGGCACAATCTGGATCCACTTCCTTGATGCTAGGAGAAGTCTCTGGACTAGAACTGCCAACAGCCTGCTTGCAACAGCAAGGGGCTGTGGCCCTGCCCTTTCCTGGCACCCAAGCGAGCCATTATCATGCCACTGTGAGGACCTGCCCTCTCCTGCTGGCTTTTTTTTTTTGCCTGCACTAGGAAGATGCTGAGGAAATCACTGCATGGTTCTATCCACACTCAGCCAAGGCTTTATGCTACACACAGAAAATAAAGCCATCAGAAGAGAATGGTCGCATTTTGCTCTGGGCTATCTTCTCATTTGAGATTCATTCTCTAAACAACGGGAAGTACTCCCAAACTTCAAACTGCCGTTTTTATTTCCGCACTTGGGTTTCCTCCTATTCCTGCTCCCATTCCACTCTCTACTATCCCAGTACAAGGCAGCATCACCCACCTGAATGGGTAGAATCCTGAGAGTCACCAGGATCCTTCCTTTTCATCTCCCCCCAACTCCAATCCATCAGGCCTCATTAATGCTATCTCCAGAGTATGCCTTAAACACATGCTTTCCTTTTTATCTCTCCTGCAACTCTTCCTAGTGGAAATGGCGATGAAGTTAAGGTCACCCCTGACGAAGTTAACATTGAAACCATTCTTCGCATATCTGTTCTTGTTTCCTGCCCATTCCACCTGGTGGCCAGAACAATTATTTAAAGTATAAATTGGATCATGTCATGTGTCAAGGCTCTGCAGTTGGCTTTCATTTCTCTTAGGATAAAACTCAAATGTCTTATACATTTTTTAAAAAATCTTTTATTTATCTATTTATTTGGTACAGGGTCTCTACACAGCTTAGACTTGTAGTGATCCTACTGTCTCAGCCTCTCTCGAGCTGGGATTATAGTTATGTGCCACCTTGTGTGGTTCTGGGCCGGCATGGCATGTGATACTAGAGACTTAACCCAGGTCCTTGTGCTTTCCAGGCAGGTGCTTAAATGGCTGAACTATCTCCCCAGCCCCCAAATGTCTTATGATAGCCCACAAGGTCTTACATAATTGCACCTGCCAGCCTCACTCACCTCAGATTCCAGCTACTCATCACTCGCACACACCCTTCGTGTTCAGCCATGCTCCTCCCTTTCCTCGCCAATACATCTTTCTTCACCCAGTGAGTTGTGGTCATAACCTAAACAAGGACTCTCCTAATCCTTCATCTGAGTTAAATCCTTCTATTATGCCTCCCCAAAGCACCGTACATTTTTCCTTCCGAGAATGAGAGTTGATGACCATGTAGTGATTACCTCTTGAGGATGCTTCCCACTAGACTGTAGGCTTTCTGAGGCCAGAGACTGTGGCTGTTTGGCTTACCATGTGTCCTCTGTGTCCAGTAGACAGCCTAGCATATAAGAAGAAGTTCCCCTTAGGGGCCGGCCAGATAGCTCAGTGGATAAAAGCCCCTGCTTAGGCAGACGCAGGGACCAGGGTTTGATCCCCAGCGTGCCATGCCAACCCCACCCCCGGGGGACACTGAGATGGTGATTGACACTGGGCATGGTGGCACACACCGGTAATCCCAGTGCTTGGGAGGCTGAAAACAGGACCCTGTACTAAATATATATTTTTTTAAAAAGTACTCCAAAAGGATTTGTTTAATGAATGAATGCTAAGAAGAGTATGACATTTACAACCCATACTACTTACCACTCACATCCCAGAGCTTCCTGGTGGCTGAACATGAAGTTAGGAGCTTGCCAGAAACCCACGGTAGGAGTCAGCAGTGAGGGCTACAAGGCAAGTTCTTGAGGTCCTGTGCTGGCTGCCTCCGAAGTCTTGCCTTTCCGCTTGCCAGTCACATAAGACAATGAATTTTATTTTAAGTAGTTAACTGCTCCTCCCAGTAGGGCCCAAGGGCTCATGGGGGTTGGGACCTTTCTACAATGCTTTCCCTTAGAAGGTTTCTATTTAAGCTCACACCCATGGGTGACTCCAGGTGCTAGGGATCCATCAAGAGCTATGCTCTAGCTTCGAACCTGAGGATCCTGAAGCTCACATGGAGAAAACTGGTTCTCAGAGGCTGAAGGACATGATGCATCACACAGATCTAAGACTTCGACTAAGAGCTCCTAAGCGTTAAGACTCCATTGGTCTGCTATTGCAGAACAAGGTTTAGGAGATAAAGGGACTAGGAAGGGAGAAGATGAGGAGCTAGTTCTTGAGATTAGCAAATGTTTATCTTGATTTTGAGATACAGATGAGAATTCTTCATCAGGCAATAGATGCAGATAGATTCTAGAAAACTGTAAATCTAAAGTGCTGATGATGTGTAAAACAGAGGTCATTTTTATGGGACAAGAAAGAACAAGAATTGGAAGAAGCCCCAGGCCATCCTTCTCACTTAGTGTAGCATCCTGGTGCCATAATGGGTTTAGCCTCTCACTCAGATCTCCCCAGCATAGCCTCTCATCCTGAGATAGAGTAGCCAGAGACATCTCCAACCTTGGCTAGGAAGAAAAGCCACACCCTTGGCCCCACTCCAGCCATTCTCTTCTAACTGTCTGTTGTAAATTCTTACAGCATTGTGGCCTGTAAACAAGTCCCAGGCTTGCAACGTGAAGACAGGACAGAGAAATGAAGGTGCAGATCTGCAGGAGTTAAAATCACCAGCAGTAGCTGGCTCTCTCAGAAGACAAGGAAGGAACCAGAGAGCCAGTGACCAAAACAACTATGAAACAAGAAACCTAAGTTCCAACCAAAGTCAGCCTGCAAGTAGCTCTGGTTCAAGGGTGCCAGGTGGTCGGAAAGCACTTTCTGGGTGATAGAAGAACTTTCTCACTTTCATATGCCCCTATTAGGCAGGGGCTAGGTTCAGAGGCTGCAGACTGCCATCCCAAGCCCTAAACGGGGCTTGGGCTCCAGCTGCCACCAGCCAGCCCTGTTTCTTCCAGGTACTGTTTGGATGGCTCTTACACAGGACTAATTGGTCACCTGGGTGCTGTGCTAAAGTCCCACGGGGATACAAATGAGGCCTGCATTTTCAACAGCCTGAAGGAAAGGGATGTTTTATAAGAACAGCCAGTAGTTTGGGATGAACAATACCTTTCAAATTAAAAATAAAACCTTGAGAAAAAAAAAAAGTCAGCCTTCTTTCCTGGGCCCTCATTAGCTATGGAAATTCAAGAGCAACAGAGCTGTTCAGGGTAACAGCACTGAGGTGGTTGTTTTCTTTCTTTTCTTTTCTTTCTTTTTTTTTTTTTTTTTTTTTTATGGCAGAACCAGGGATTGAACTCAGGCCCTTGCATTTGCCAGGGAAGTGCTTATTCCACTGAGCCATCTCCCTGGCCCCATGTCATGCTTGTTTTCAAGGAGTAAACATCAGAAGATTTTCTTAGTGGAGTAGTCAGTTGAATACTTTCAGTCAACAATACTTTCCACAGTGGAGGGTGCAAAGGGACAGGATGTATAAGAGCCATTTTATTTCAAGGTACGTATTTCTCTTGTCTATTTTACTTACATATTAAAAGCAGACTCACCTCTCAATAAAGTCAACATTCACAGTGTGAATGTGTGAATCACTCTTTCCTCTTACCACTACAGATATGGCCTTCTTATAACTGGGGTGAAACACAAAGCTAGAGCTAGGGAAAGCATTTAAATGTCAAGGCATTTGGGCTTAGAGACTTTGTATCTGTAATCTTTGCCAGGAAATAGACAAAATCTTATGGCCTATCTACTAAGGTTCAGGCTTCATGCTAGGTGTGGAGATACAGAAAATACAGGAACGACTCCTGCCCTAAGAGAGTGCAGTGAGCAGGTGGTATGCACAGAAGAGAGGACAGTGGTGTCCCTTATAACAAATGCTCATGCAAGGGAGCGTGTTATGCAGAAGTGGGGAAAGAGAGCTTCCAGGACATGGTAAGACTGCAAGGAAACAGCGGCTACCAAGACCAGTTGCTGGGGAACATTCCAGGCAAAGGCTACAAGATTCTGGAAAGCCTGAGGGAGAAAGATTTCCCAAGATACATGAATTCAATGGGAAGGTGTCAAAGAAGGAGGAAGAGGGATGAGTACCAATAAAAAGGAGATAGAGGAGACTGGAGCAGGGAGGAAGGCTAGCATAAAAGATCCTTTCAAAAGAAAATATGCTTCTTTGGGGAGGAGGTAGTTTTGAGTGTTAGCTCAAGAGACTATGTTTCTTGTTAGAATACCAGACAGTTGTTGCAAGATTTTAATTAGAACACAGAATGTTTGCATTTGCATTTTAAAACGCTCTGGAAGCACCATGGGAGAAAAAAAAAAAAAGATAAGCTAAGGACCCTGCAGCAATGCGGGTGAGAATGACCACGGATGGGCACAGTGGGTAAGAAGCGATGAGCAGGGGAAAAGCAGGTGGGTGTGAAGCTAGGGACTGGATGGGCGTCGATGGGTACACTGTGGAGTATGAGGCAGGTGGGCTCAAGAATGGCTCACTTTGGGGGTTCAGGCAGTCAAGAAGGATGTAGGACCCCTCACTGAGGCAGGCAGTATGAGTAGGACCAGTGGGATGGGAAAGACGAGCTCAAGACCACTGTCAGCCTCTCCAAATCACCAATGTGCTCCTTCCTCTTCATCCTTGCCTTCCACTCCAGTCCATACCACAAATGAAATGAATTCCTGGCTTCTTCATTCCTACTCCCAAAAAGCTTGCTCTTAAAAACCAAAAACTTCTCCTTCATGTCCTCATCCTGCTACAAGGTGGTAGCTTGACCTGAATTTGACTCTTAAAACTCTGGTACTTTTTCAAACCCCACTGGTCCTCAAAGTAGCAGCTTTAACCTTTTTCAGCTGTCCCTGGGTCACATTTCTAACAGATTTCTGACCCAGTGATTCTCAAACCACCAGCATCAGCCTAATCTGAGAACCTCTTAAGAAATGCAAACTGTGGGGCCCTACTCAAGTCCATCTCTAGCAATAGGGCCTAACATGTTATAAGTCTTCAAGATATGAACCACCACTGTAACCTATGGAGACTTTTCTCCACCTCCTCTCCATTCATCCTAGGTTTTTTTGTTTTTTTTTTGTTTTTTTTTTATTTTTTTTAGGGGGAGCAGGTACCAGGAATTGAACTCAGGACTTCACGCTTGCCAGGCAGGAGCTGCACCACTGAGCTAAATCCTCAGCTCTTCCATTCATCCTTGATTCCTGAGGTCCCCAAATGCCCTGTCCTTGGTTCTCTTCTCAAGCAATTTGCTCTACTCTCATGGACTCCAGAACTCTGTTTCCAACAGTTAACATGTTCACCTGTTTCCCCAAAGAATCGAAACCAAATGATTCTATCATCTAAGATGGTAATTTTAAAGTATCTTTTTCCCTGATTAATTTCACTTAATATCATCACTTTCAGTTCCAGGACGGAAGTTTCCAAATCACCTCTGACTTCCCTTCACCATGGAAACTTGGAAACTTCCTAAATCAAGCTGAATTGCCATCTCATTCACTTCTTTGCTTTGTAATCTCCATCTATTCCCCAGGCCTTCAGACTGACCACAATCCTCCAGCATCGTATCTCCCTACCTTCTAAAAAGAAAGTATTATCCTGCTTTTAAAAAAAACAAATTTCATTTGGATGTGCAGACACATGACTATAATCTCAGCATTTTGGAAGGATCACAAACTCAAGACTGGCTGGGCAACTAACTTATCAAGATACTGTCTTAAAATTAAAAATACAAAAAAGCAGTTGGGATGTAGCCCAATATGAAATCCCTGGGTTTGATCCTCAGTACTAGAAAAAAGAAATTCAAACATACAGTAAAGCTTGCTATCCATAATGTTTTAAGTTGGCCACATTTAAACAATAGGGAGAATCTTTCCATAGGATCCATGGCATAGCAAGCACTCAAACTTAGACATTTCATATACATAGTTAGTCCTGTCAGCCACCTCTGGGGAATGTTTGTCTTCATTTCAGAGATCGAAAACTGAAGGTTCAGAGGCATGATTTTCTTAAAGCCACACAGCTAGTCAATGGAAAAGCTGAGATTTGAATGCAAATCTCTTTCTTCATTTTGCTCCTTACCTTGTATGACTGCAGTCTTAGATTAATAATGTATACTATCAGGCAGTCAAGTTCAACATCATTGTAGGTTCGTTTCCAATCCATGGGCATCACTGGGTAGACTTACCTGAGCACTCGGGCCTCTAATTTGCAATACAGATTGCTTTGCAAGATATTCCTTATTTAACAGCTGAGTTCTGTTCCTATGTCTAAGTTGTTAAATGCACTGGTTGCTGAATGGGGAACTATATATAGCACATATAATATTCAGAACAAAGGAATGGTTAAGGAGACTCCAACTTGATGGTTTTGCTTTTACTTGCATAGCTCTTACATGCACCACTGTAATATATAACAGAGCATCTAACTACAGTACTATATGATCAGCAGAAATTACAGTACTGTATAAACAAGGTGGACTGTACAAAAAAAGACATTGGGGCTCCATAAACAAGAGATATAGAAGTGTACAAAAAAGAAAAGGTGGTCATAAATCCAAACAGCAAGCCCCAGTAGTAAGCCCATTCATTAATCCAGTCAGTCAGTAAATGAGGAGTATCTGTACATTCCTACAATTTCATAAATCACAGACAGTTGTTACTAATTCTTCAAAGACACCTTAACAGTAAAAAGCAAAAAATCAGGAAGCAACAGGCCCTGGCCCAGAATATAATGTGCTTCTCTGTGGGATGGTACAGGGGGAAAAAAAACTCTTCCATGTCACTTGAACTGGCTGTCAAGTAGCCTGCCAATCATGGCAGTAATTATATAGGTAGCTTACTCATCTCCCCAAATTAGAGTTAATCTGTAAGATGCAAAAGAAAGTAAACTGAGGTTTACATATA